TTAAACATTTTTAAGAGAGGTGAGTTGGAAACATTTGTTTGTTTATTCAGCAGTGCAACGTTACCGCCATTATTTTTTAATATCTGTAACTGTTCCAGCACACACAGTCGTATCCCTTTATTACAAGTATGTAAGACTTTAAAGGAGTGGTCATTGGCTAGGCTGTGTCCAGTGTCCAAGAGATGTTTAGCAAAATGTGATTTATCGGCATTACAATTCCTGTACGCGGCTAAATGCTCTTTATAACGTGTTTCGAAGTTGCGACCATTCTGACCCACGTAAGCGGTTAGGCATTCGTCACAAACAAGTTTAATAATTTCTTATATTTACGCGGACACTACACATTGAATAAAACTATTTTTACGGATTTTGTCGCGTTCAATTAACTTATTTTATATTCCCGACGTTTCGGTTGCTTTCCAGCAACCGTGGTCACGGGGAAACGTCGGGAATATAAAATAAGTTAATTAAACGCGATAAAATCCGTAAAAATAGTTTTATACAAACAAGTTTATTAACACCAGAATTTAGACGAATATCTAACTTATCTTTATTATTACTGATATTCCTAAGTGAATTGTTTGTTTTGAACGCAACGTAAACACCATCTGTCAAAGAGTATTAGCTATTTTTTCAGATATGGAACCTAAGTAGGTCAAACTGCCAACATATCGACGATCACTAGGAGGTTAAACCGCGTACAGAGAATTGCGTACGACAAGCTTTTGTTTCTTTTTGATTACACTGTCAATGATATTCCTTGAATAACCGTTAGAAACCGCAATTTGATAAATCACATTAAGCTCTTCTAAATAATTTTCTTTACTTAATGGCACAGTAAACAAACGATTAATATAACAATAAAATGCGGCTAATTTATGTTGCCACGGATGACATGATGACGCAGGAATGACCGTGGCGGTATGAGTTGGCTTTCGATAAATTTTAAATTCATGTAAAGACTCTTTTCTTGTTATTGTTACGTCGAGAAAATTAAGGACACAATCTTGTTTCAATTCAAGCTTTAATTTAATTTTGTCGTGTATTTTATTAAGGAAAATGACCTAGTAGCTCGATGCTTATTTTTTTTTATATTGGCAAAGAACTTACCATTTCTTTAACACATAATCTTAATCGTATAATAGCGCAGGAATAAAAAAGCGAACATTTGAAAACTCGTCTTTTATTTCCAAATACTTATAGATATAAAACTAATATATAGCTTACTAATTGCAGTAGGTAACCAATTTGGAAAAATTAAGTTATTTATAGAGAACAGAATATTTTCTCTTTACGTTGTTATTCTAATTTGGAATTTATTAATAAATCGCTCATTGTGTTCGTTCAAGTCTTTGTAAAGACAATATTAATATATATTTAGGCTTACGTTTTTCTTTATTCCCTAGATAGAAAAATATATTGAGCACGTTGTGATTGATCCTAATTTAAAAACAATCTTGATTGGACACGCAATCCGTAAAGATAAGCTGGCCTGCTTCACTTCCCCCGAAAGCTTTACGAATGCCTTAAGCGTAAAAAGAGATGCGAAGCGGATAGCAGATGGTTTTATGTAAAACTTGTTCAATTTAAAAAAATATATATTAAGCGGCTTCTAATCTGAATAGTTCCACTTTATGCTCTAAAATATTTTCTTATTATAAGAGCATTTTAAATTAATGATCATTAACCTTCAATTTATAATGATATAAATAAACTGGTAAAAGTAAAGTAAAGTACAGTTACAGTATATAAACGTCACACTGCTGGACACAGGCCTTTTCTCATTTCTGAGAGGGTTTTAGGGCAAGGAAATGTCCGCTGCACCAATGTATGTTGGCAGACTTCACATGTCTTCGAAATATTTATTTCTTACTTCTCAGACATGCAGGTTTCCTCACTATATCTTCCTGCACCGTCGAGCACGTGGTAAATCAGCACTTAAATTTGCAATTAACAATTTCATTGTTGCTGGCGGGAATTGAACCCGGGCTGCTCGCGTACTGCGAAATTTACGCTTAGCCCCTGAGCTACTTAGGATGTTAGTTAATAAACTGGTAAATAAAACTAATTTACTAGTTACTATAAGCATTAAGTCGGCCTTGTTCCTAATATGATGGTTTGAAGTATCAAGTTGCAGTTTTAATGGTGTAACGGCCTACGGCTGTTCCCATAAAGATCAAATCCTCAGGGACCCATTCAGCTGAGTTTCGACGAGCAGACGTAGGTTGGGCCTCCTAAGGCCAAAGTGGAAAATCTATAGTTACACTAAACAATAAGGCGGAGCGTTCTGTGGTCCGGCCTTTCAACAGGGAGAATATTAGACGGAGCTTACTTACCTATATCCAAGGCGACTGGTCCCTCCGGAGTCGGTCAGGTCGCATGTGGTTGTTTAGTGCAAGAGAAATAAGGTGCTGTGATGTGTATCTGGGTGTGACTGATGGTGATTGACCTTAGTAGACCTTGGCCGTCGGCAGCAGCCCGGGCGTCGAAACCGCTCCAAAATGAGGTAATCTGCCGCGGCGTTGTCCACAGTCACTTTCCTCGTTCATCACGATGACAGTCCATTAACTCTATCGTACGATTAACTAACTTACAGAAGCCACTAACTCTCGTTTGTTATAAAGCCTAACACACAAAATGAACAGGGAGTGTCCGGATCAAAGGTCACTACCGTTTCGCGTAGCAACAGTTATTTCTAGAATATCAAAGGCCGCACTAGCTAATATTGTCGAATGCACTTATACAGATTCTGAATCGGACACAATGAGTCCCTGGGATGCTCTCCAGCAAGGAATACGCGTCACAAATCCTAGACAGAATATTTACTATCCGCGCCTAATTATTCCGAGTTCCCTAACAAAATTGCTAACGTTAGCACCGCTGACAGACGACTGACTTGCAATCGCGCGCGCTCGACACATCCAACTGTCAAACCGGTATGGCACCGAGCCGCGCGCCCTATGACGTCGATTCCAACAACAGCGTTTGGCGCGAACAAATGGAGTGGCCATTTTGAGTTTAAATTAAACTAACATAGTAGTGATCAAAACTTTTTTTTTTCTACGCAAAAATTATATACTTTTCACTTAAAAAGTTATATGACGTTTAATTGTTTGTCTTTCAATTGTTCTTACATTCAGTATTTGAGTTAATAGTGGAGACTTCAAAATAAGAGCAATTTTCTAATATGAGTTCCGGCGTGAATCTAACGCAACAGAGCCATCTAAAATCTATGATGATGATCTAATCTAAAATGATTTTAGTACACGAGGAAAGATGGATACTATATAAGCTCCGCATCTACCACAAAACAAGCGTTATTAATTAAAACATACTTATCTTCACGCACAATCCCTGACGGGGTAGCCAGAGAGAACAGATCGCCAAGTGTCACGAACCTTACATACCTCTTTCGCTTCTTTCAGATTCATTATCTTCTTCATACATGCACGTCTAGGTATCCGAGTACTCTTGACCCTCCCCTCTTCGAGCAATTTGCTAACATGGTCTTCGAAAGTTGGTTTCGGTCTACCTCGACACCTTTTTATATTAACTTTCGCGCTATATATTTTCTTCACCATTCGGTCTTTACTCATTCCCTCAACGTGCCCAAAACATCGAAGCACGCCCTTATCAATTTTTGTGATAAGTTCATCTTTCAAACCTGCCATATTGCGAATCTCTTCGTTTCGCTTTCGGTCAGCCATGGTAACGCCGCACATTTTACGAAGAGATCGCATCTCCACTGCATTCAACTTGCTTTTATGCTTCTTTTGGCATACCCAGGTTTCGCTGCCATATAACAAAGTCGTTTTTTTTTTATAGAATAGGGTGACAAACGAGCACACAGTCCACCTGATGGTAAGTGGTTACTGTGACCCATAGAAATCTACATCTATCCTCAATAAAAACTCAAGATGCAGATGCGTTGTCACCCGTGAGGACTAAGATGGAATGCCTCTTTGTCAGTAAAAAGGGTCTCCGGTTCTCTACACTCACCATACGAAATACGCGTTAAGCTGGTGGTCCTTCCCCGGTTGAGCCGACCCAATCGTGCTACAACCATATTATAGCTGCAGCATGACTCTACGACGTAGAAAATTTATAAAACATAGGTTACATAAAACATTTAATTGAAATCTACTTGCAGTGAAGGCCAGAACATAATATAAGATACGCCTTTTCGACTTACAGACGAGGCAGTGTAAATCGGTTAATTGCTTGAAATTCATCCAAATGTTAAAAATTCCTAATGTGATGTGTAATTGTACACTGAAGAAATTTTTGTTTGCGATACCATTTTCTGAAATTATTAACCTTTGCAAGACTCCTGCGGGGTCATACCGCTAGTTCGGCGATGATGGGATGTGGAGGAAGAGGATTTTTAGGGATCTGAGTGTCAGTATAACAATAAGCAGCTTTCCTCACTTTCCTCCCTTGGTGTTGTCTATCCCCATGGCCTTCGCGTAATGGACCCGGGAGTGGATGTTAGGAGCATTTTTTGCCCAGATGGTGATCAAGTAGTCGTTTCTATTCCGGTCGCATCATTCCCTCCGTCCGTTCGAGGCGGTTATTGGTGGACATTTGCCCATGAAATAGGGACAACATTTACTAACCTATAGCAAATTAAGATTTCTCATAGCCTGTAATTATACTGCCTCTCTTACCGTTCTAACAAGAACACACTCTTTGGTAAAAAAGAAGTGCTAATACCTATCTATTACAGTATCATTGATAACGCCTAATATTTTAACATTAATACATTTAGTCGTACATTAAATATAATAGAAACATAATTTACTAAAACAGTGCAAACAAGCGCGTTACTCATAAAAATATACTTCAACACGAAAACTCTTTATACGATGCCTTAATATGAGCTGTACTGTTGAATTGTTCAATAGTAATTAAGTTTAATTTTCACCGCCAATACCGTCATCTTCTGTGTGGCTTAGTACAAATATTTGACATATTTTAACAAGTTTAACAAAGTAACTTACCAAAAACAATCATTTGCTTTGTTCTTGAATCCTCTTCCATAAATGTTGAAACGACACACGTGTATTCACCAGAGATGTCAGTATTGGGCTTCACTATGCGCAGTGCTCTGTGCATTTTTAATGGGTCGTTCGATGCTCTGTAGGTTAAATCGACACGACCCCTCAATATTCCCATGTCCTGTGGCTTTTGCGAAACAATCCATTGGTAGACAGGCCTAGCTTTGTTTCTGAAAAACCACTTCACTACCAGTCCTGATGTGTTGTTACCGTAAATATAATCACAGTCTAGAATTACAGCGTCTTGCACACCGTACTGTATTATTTCTGGCACTACTACTTTCACAATTTTAACTGCATTCATTTCTGAAACAAAGAAAAAACTAAAATGAATAACTTGAATGTAACTTCCACACTAATTTAATTTCACGCCGGCACAACGCCTGCAACTTTACAAGGCGCAGGTTCGGCCTCACATGGAATACTGTCCCCATCTCTGGGCTGGGGCTCCCCAGTGCCAGCTCTTTCCACTTGACTGCACCCATCGCAGAGCGGCTCAAATCGTCGACGACCGAGTCTTTTTCGATCGGCTCGATTCATTGGCACTGCGAAGAGATGTTGCATCTCTTTGCATTTTCTTTCGCATTTACCACGGGGAGTGCTCTGGGGAATTGTTCGGGTTGATCCCAGCTGCCAAATTTCACAAACGCACATCGCGGAAGAACTCCCGATACCATCCACACCATCTGAATGATTGGCGGTCCACCACTGTGCGATTTAGAAGATGTTTTCTTCCTCGCACAACTTCCTTGTGGAATAGTTTACCACTTGCGATTTTTTTGGACCGATACGATTTAGAGACCTTCAAGAAAAGAGCCTACTCCTTTTTAAAATGCCGGCAAATCATCTACAATTCCCCTGATTCCCCTGGTGTTGCGGTTGTTCATGGGCGGCGATAATCACTTACCATCAGGTGAGCCGCATGCTCGTTTGCCCCTCTCCTATAAAAAAAAGTAATAAAAATACATTTGATTTGTTTTTATGGTTTTAATAACATATAAACATATTGAAGATAATTTGTTTTAGATTTGTCCCTTTCTGAACGCTTATTATTTTTTATAAAGCTGAAGTTAAAAAAAAAACGAATTTACAGTCCTACCTTCAGTCTAATGCAGTAAATGAAAACCTGCAGCCAACTTCAAACAAAGAAGGTTAAATGGTAGATGCGTTGATACTTCTGAGGACTAAAATGATATTTTATATAATATCATTGCTTTTTATTGCAATAGATGGTTTTTGAAATAATTAAGCTATAAGAGAGAAATATATTCGTTGTTTAATTAAAGGATCATTGTATTGTACATTGTATCAACTTTTCTTTTTTTTAAAAGACTGAATTTTTTTTAATAAAACAAGGTACGTCCGGATGCGATTGAATACATTCCTTAAATATTACTTCGGAGGCAACTTCTTTTATTGATTAATCAAAACATTATTTCTTTACTGAACTGAATATCAGAAAAAGTGTGATTAATTTATAAGAAAAGGTACTTATTATTCAAACAACAACGGACCAGTTTGACGGACAGCGGGTTAATTGCGTCAACATTAATGATCGGAAAATGTAATATTAGCGCAAAAATACCACAAAAAAAGCTTTCTCTAAATGTAAACAATTACTATTCATAGACAGTACAAAAATTCATAGAGAACATATTAAATCTAGATGTTTATTCTCAAAGTCTTTCCCTCGTAGATAATCCATACCCATTAGCCTGCAATGCGCAAAGCATTAATATTTATGCAATTCTTTCAATGTTGTTAAAAGCTTATTTAAATTCATCCTTGATTCTATATAAAAGCATGTTCGACCTAAAAATTTGAGTCTCACGTAAATTTTATCAATGAACGCTTCATATAACATGAGAATAGATTCTGATAAAGAATTCGAAAAGGCCCAGTTCTTACAGCACTTCGCTTAGGTGAATATCAATCATAAAAATTCCGCTACATTACAAGCTTTACTGATAAAAAAATATTTCAATTATTTTATAATTAGTACGCGAATACCTCTCAGAAATTAGGTGAGAAGAAGTAAGATTTTATTTATTAACACGTTTTTATTAGGTCCGCGTGTATCTATTAAAAATTACATTAGAAGATTCTTTTCTATAGATAGATCCATCACATCCTATAGTCCACTGCTGAACACAGGCCTCCCACATAAATTATCTCATAGGGGTGGATTTGGGATAGTTGCTCTTTTTATTGCTATTATAATATTGCGAACAAAGGTTCTCAAGTAGCTGACGCGTACCAGTAGGTGATGTGTAGGGCGTCCCCCCACTAGATGGAGTGACGACCTGTTAAGATATGCAGGAAGTCAACAGATTCAGGTGGGACCTCGGGACCGTGCATTGTGGCATTCCTTAGGGGAGGCCGATGTTCAACAGTGGACTTGTGACGGGCTGTAATAATGATATAATATGAAGCCTTATAAATAAAAAAATAATAAAAAAATAAAATAACGTCTATTACCAACCAAATTTTTCTAGATACAAAGGAGCTCTGTCTCCTGAACTAGGTTATAACCTGTATCTCAGGAAACAGTGCCTTCCCTTACTGCTAGGTAATGTTTAAAGTGGTGTGTGTGTGTGTGTGTGTTTGTGTGTGTGTGTGTGTGTGTGTGTGTGTGCGTGTGCGTGTGCGTGTGCGTGTGCGTGTGCGTGTGCGTGTGCGTGTGCGTGTGCGTGTGCGTGTGCGTGTGCGTGTGCGTGTGCGTGTGCGTGTGCGTGTGCGTGTGCGTGTGCGTGTGCGTGTGCGTGTGCGTGTGCGTGTGCGTGTGCGTGTGCGTGTGCGTGTGCGTGTGCGTGTGCGTGTGCGTGTGCGTGTGCGTGTGCGTGTGCGTGTGCGTGTGCGTGTGCGTGTTTTCATTATATATTTTTCAGTATATATTTTTAAATCTATTGGTACTTAGTTCTCGGTGGGAATTTTATTATAAATGCATGATGCTATGAAATTGTAGTGTCGTTGCATAAAGGTAGTTTTGGTAATGGGTATAGGGCACCGTAATTTTCTTTTACTGGTTCGTGGTAGTGAATAGGCTGTTACACGGTGGTATCTCAGGAGAGCTTGAGGCATAAACAGCTTGCGAACTGAGAGTACCTGAGTCTCGTTGTAGACTTTATTAGTAGGATGTCGGTATGGTAGGTGCATTAATACCTTTAATATTGATCTTTGCACACGTTCAAGTTGAATCATTGTTATTTTAGGTGCACCACCCCACGTCGTAACACAATAATTAATGATACTTTGGCAGAGTGCTTTATAAGTTTGATTAAGAATTTTTATTAGCGACTGTTCTTAACTGTCTGAAAATATATATATAAGTTTTTTAACCCGAGAACAGACACTAATGATCTGTTCTTTCCAGCTCAAATTATCGTCTTCTTGAACGCCTAGATATTTGATACATCTGGCTTTGGTTAATGTGCTACAGTTGCATTGGCTAGAAAGCTTTCCATTACATGGTAAAGAATGTAGTGTAATAGTAAAGTTTTGAGCTGGACCTGAAGTTACAGATCTCGAAAAGCAGAGGTATTTGGTCTTTGAAATATTTAATGTGAGCAAGTTCTTCTCTAACCAGGATGAGACATTCTCCAAACAGGTTTCTGCAAAGGTTTGTGCTTGTTTCCAACTCTTACCATGAAATAGTAAGACTGTGTCATCAGCGAATATTAGTACATCCGTATTGGATGTTAATGCGTTTGGAAGACTATTAATATATGCCAAGAAGAGAGTCGGGCCTAATGAACTGCCCTGTGGAATACCGAATCCACAGGTTGAGGCATCACTCGGGTCTTTATTTACTCTGACGTATTGCTTTATACCCACCAAGTAACTCCGAAACCATTGGTGTACATGACCGTGGACACCCAAGCCCTCTAGTTTTGACTATAGTATCGGAATTGATACTGTGTCAAAAGCATTTTCAGGTCAAGAAAAACGCCAATGACTATCTCTCCTCTATCAACATATTTGTGAATTAAAGATCAATCAACTTCAGCCTACTGTTGACCAATCCTTCCACAATTTTTAACATAGTAGACAGCATAGAAATCGGTCTATAGTTAGAGACTTCTTGTTTGTCCTCCATTTTAAAAATTGGAGACTCGATAGCCGTTTTAAATAAATCAGGAAATATTCCTTGTTCTAAAATAAGGTTACAAAGTTGTGTAATTGGATAAACAAGGTACTCCTTTGGCAGTTTAACAAAACTTTGACAAAGGTCTTTACTAAATTCAGCTGCTAAGTTAGTAATGGTTCATATTATGTAATGATTAATGCACAATGTTCCTTTTGTATGGCATTGTTTTTGTTGTAAACATTTCTCTTAATGAGTTTCGGCTCAATCTATATTTTGATTGTATCATGTCACTGAGATTGCTTTCTACTCTTAGGAGTATGGGAAGTTGTATGTAATGTTTGTTTTTTTATTGTTTATTTTCTTCTAGAATAGCCACTTGCGTAGGAAGTTGCGCAAGCACTTCTTGCTACTCTCAAACACGTTCGCGAAATGTAAGCATCAAGCTAAGTATATATACATAGTCGTTGAGGACTTTCCTTTAGTTGTTTCTTACGACCCCCATGTAACAAAATGAGAATCTGGATTTATTTGCGCACTAGGAAAACGTAAAAATTAAGTACACATTATGTTATAGTGTAGTGGCGGTGTAAGAATATCCACTACCCTATATCATCCTTTGAGTGTTGGAAGTGGTGACTGAGGTAACAAATCAAATCAAAAACTAATTCGAATAATATTTAACATACAAAATACTGATAGCTGCAAACCATACTTCGTCACACATAAAATACTTACCTTACCGTGCATATATATTTTGGAAATCTGCAAATTCATTAAAAAATACCCAGAATTCTATATCAAACGAGGTGAAAGTAATACCAGATACCAATTACGCCATAAAGAAATACTAACTCTACACATATCTCGCCTTAAGCTGCATTCATCAGGTCTCTTCGTCATGTATATCAAAAATTTTAACAAACTCCCAGACTCGATAAAAAATATAGAAAAAGAAACAATTTTATAAATAAAATTAAGGATTTAATAATTTGTAAACAAAACTACACACTAAATGAATACTTAAATGATAAATTTTAAATATCTACCAAGTAATCCAATTCTATTTTTATTTCAAAGTGTATTTGTCATTATTGTTTCACTATAATGGCCCTCCTCTCTCTTAATTGACGTGCCCTGCAGGGCCCATAATGATCTCATAGTTTTAAGTTAAAACTTAAAATGTTCTCAACACCTTAACTGTAACATTATGGATGCAATA